GCTGCATTCTGCCTAGCTAGGATTGCCACTAAGCTAACAAATGCCACCCAAAGGTCAACTTCAGACTACAAAGTGCTCAGGGCATTCGAATTGCTGAGTTCATATGAGACTGACATGTACGTTTTACAGAACTTTGAATTCAAAAATACTTAATCCTAAAACGGCTAAGTATGACCAAGCTGGATACTGTGGAAAGCTGGGCAGAAATAGCTTCATTATTATAAATAGTTTTGCTGTGTTTAAACCTTTTATTTTAGACAAAACAAGGAATGTTGTGAGACATTTGGTAGCACTATGAACCCCAAGATTGTATTATTTACTGGGAAAACCTGTGTCTAGTTGTAGTATGACTCAGACACACACCTTTAATCCAAGAGCTTTCTGCCTCAATATTATAAACAGAATTAAATAAAGTCAACTGTAGGTCAAGAGGCAAAGCAAGCAACCAGTTCATGGGGAAAAAAAGAGTAAGAGGGATTCGGGAGAATGGACAGAGAGATGCACAGGAAGTAGAAGGGAGGGACATTGAATTTGAGGGGTCTTGTTTGAGATGGACTAGGAGAAAGATTCTTTCTCTGGATGTTAGCAGAGGAGGAAGGACAGCTGGGTGCTTGCTCTGCCTCTCTGAGCTAGCAGGCTTTTACCCCAACATCTGGCTTCTGAGTCTTTATTGGTAAAATTGAACGATGGAGGTTTGGTTATAAACAGCATTGCAGAATTCATTGCTCTGTGGATTTTATAATTTGCAATGTATCCAGCTTCTTCTCCCTCTTCCTCCTTGTCTTCTTATGCTTTTCTGGGCAATACCTTTGTCATGTTCCTTGTGGCCCTGGATGGACACCTGCACACTCCCATGTACTTTTTCATCTGCAGTCTCTCCTTGGCTGAGCTCTGGTATACCATGTTCATTGTGTCCGTCCAACTTTCTAAATTACTGAAGGACCACCTCAGTTCTTAGCTGCATCACCCAGCATTAATTCTTCTCCTCTGGCTGTCATTGAATTCTTCAACCTCACCACCTTACTTGCCAGCCTTGTGGTGAGTCACAGATTAATAGAAATGGGTTAATTTAAGATGTAAGAGCTAGCTAGGAATATGCCTAAGCTATTGGTCAAACAGTGTTGTAGACAAGCAGAAATAATTAGAACAGTCAGACAATAGTAAACATGAAACAATAGCAAATTACAAACAGAACATGGAAGATCCTGGGATGTCATTAAAAGACCAAACTTGTGAATTATTAGCATAGAAGAGTGAGAAGAAGTAAAAAAAAAAAAAAAAAACCTAAGGACAGACAAACTATATTTAATAAAATAACAATTTCCAAATCCAGGAACAGAAGACAACTGCAAAAGATGGCATTTAGAAAGTAAAGTTGGTAAGCTTAGAAAAGCATTTCCTCAAGTAATTCTACAAGAACAAAAAAAGAGAATTGGAAGGCTGTGAGTGAGAAGCATCAAACTACATAAAAAAGCAAACCTGTCCTATTAATAGTGATTTCTGAACAGAAATATTAAGCACCAGCAGGGCAGGTAATAGTTTATTTTAACCTCCAGAACGTGTGTCCTTAGCAGGACCTTCCGTGTCCTTTGGCCTCTGAGAATTGGGTCCTCTTCCCCACGACTGCACGATGGTAACAACTCTGCACTGTTTTCCATGTTGTCACAATGATATCTCTGCGCTGTATTTCCGTGTGCTTTATGATAAAGTTTGAGCACGTGTGTGTAGTGCTACTTCACGGCTGTGGCTGATTGTAACTCAGAAACTCTTGGATGCCATAAACTCTAAGGCTAAAACGCTGAAGACCAAAATCTCTTAAGTCTAACGTCTCAGAAAGTCATAAACTTCATCAGGTAACTGTGGGTATAAAACCCATGTGCACAACTGCCAGCCATATTGAAGTGTGTTCATAATTTTGCTTATTGACTAGTGTCCTTAATATATCACTTATAATTGGTATATCTATGCTTCATGAGCATACCTTAGCTGAGTGCTATGCAAGCAAAAATTTGTACACGTTTGCCTATCTGGTGAGATAGAGTATCCCGTTCTCCCATGTTTTATGTTTCCTGAATAAATACTCCCTTGAAAAATCTAAATAAATGTCTTTAAAGTAATTTTAAAATACTCCCAGAATTATATTTTAAAGATTTAAACTTTTGTGATTATGACATTCAAAACTGTATCTTTTGAGATAGTAATACAAACTCTCTACTTGACATCACCTGTATAGTGTTTTCCTGCTTGGGAAAACGGCCATTGATAAAGGAAATGGTTTCTGATGACTGGCTTATTTTCTGAAACATGTGTCCCTCATAAAGAGGATTTTCTTTAAGTCTCTGGGGCCTGAGCCTCCCAGCACATTCTGCTTTCCAGTCAGGAGAGCCTCACACAACTCTTAACGAGTTAAGGCACACTAAGAGTGAAATCTTTGTGGTTTATATCTGTCAATATTTGTCACATTAGAAAGTTAGATTGTTGAAGCCCAGCTTTAAGGGCGAATGCTTAAACTCCCAATGTTTGGAAGGTGGAGGCTTTGATCAGAAAAGAGTTCAAGATCATTATCAGCTACATAAAGAATCTGTAGGCAGCCTGGGGTGGAAAAAGAGGGAATTAGGGCTAAATGAAGGGAATGGACTAAGAGAGAAGAAAGAAAGAAAGAAAGAAAGAAAGAAAGAAAGAAAGAAAGAAAGAAAGAAAGAAAGAAGGCTAAAGGAAGTCTAGCATGCCACAAAAATATAGTTTAAGAAGGAGGTTTGAAATTTTGGTGGCAAACACTGATAAAGAGGTTCCCTGCCCCTTCTAATTTGTTCAGTGGTGTGATAGTGGTGAATTGGTTCAGAAGAGTTAAGGGTAGCCTTGTCTATAAATGTCAGCCAGAGCCATATAGTGAGATTATATCTCAATAAACTGTTGTAATAAGAGCGGCAGACCGCTTCCCACCACCTTGCTAGCTTTACCCTAAATAATTACACAGAAACTGTATTCTTTTGAACCCTGCCTGTCCCATTAGTTCCAGCCTCTTATTGGCTAATTCTCATATCTTGCTTTAACCCATTTCTAATAATGTGTTTAACACCACTAGGTGGCTTACCTGGAAAGATCTTAACCTGCGTCTGTCTGGAGTGGGAGAATCATGGCGACTGCCTGACTCGGCTTCTTTCTCCCAGCATTCTGTTCTGTCTGCTCCACCCACCTAAGGGCTGGCCTATCAAATGGGCCAAGGCAGTTTCTTTATTAACCAATGAAAGTAACTCCTCCAATAAACAAACAAAAATAAAGTAAAAACAAAACAAAAATAACATTATCAACTTCTGACCTCCACATGTAGTTAACTCACACAAGCACACACAGTAAATTCATTATTGAACTTTATCAATAATAGTAGAATTACTGGTTTTGTGGATGTAGTGACATCTACAATGATGGAAAGGAGAAAATAAAAATGAACGACGAGAAACAGTACATGAGAACTAAGAAGGAGACCCACAACCCTTGATGTTGTCTGTGAAAAGTTCTCAGCCTCTGCTTCTTGCCATCTAAGGAAAAGACTCCAAAATAACGTTAGTCATTATTGTGAATTAATTGTTTGAGATTCTCCCAATTGGAAAGCAGAATGTACTAGGAGACTCAAGTCCTCAGAGACGTAAAGAAAATTCTCCTGGTGAGGGACCTATGCTGAAGAAGGAAGAAAAAAACAAGCCAGGCGTCAGGCACTATCTGCCTTTATCAATGGCTACTTTCCCAAGTAGGAAAATACTGCACAGATGATGTCCAGGACAATGCTGGGAGGTCCAGGGTGAAATAAAGCAAGAACTGTACTGCAGCAGGACCAATGTGTGGGCTCTCGGCTCTGAAGAACATTTACGTTTTTGCATAGCATTTGAATGTATGTATCCACTTAAGTTTGTCTTTTTGGGTGTCTATGTTTTTACTATATGTAGTCCCTTTCAGTGTTGTTTGTAATGATGTTTGTATGTGTACATAAAATATGATACATTTGTGACCTTGGATGAATCTGGCCTCTGAGTTTATTAGCGTGCACGTCTATGCTTAGATTTAGAAGTGTAACATGTTATTGTATGCGTCCATGAGGTTTGTCTAAGAGTCTGGGGGGTTTTGTATGTGTTATAATATAAAAGGATGAGTCTGAGAGCACCAAGATGCAAAGATGAGCAGCTGAAGCAGGCCTCGTATTCCACCGCACTTTTGCTACAGAGATCTTCACTCTGTTGACTAGTTAATAGCTTTATTTCCTGCAGCTGCCTGAAAGAGATGATTATTTTGAGTCTTTTCTACCAAATGGAGACTGTGTACTCTGTGTGAGGTAAGATGATAGCAAATAAAGAGAGGCTGGTGGAAGTGGGGAAGAATGGATCAGAGAAGAGACACGTTGAGAGGAGAAAAGAAAGAAATGTATTGGAGGAGGAAAAATAAAGGATTTAACAGGACAGGAAATCCCCTTGACTTGGAGTAGGATTTGTCCCAGTCGGAATGTGGATCAAATCGTGTTCATCTGAGAAGGAAATGTCCACCCCAGCAGGGATGGGAAATTGGGAAATACAAAACGGCTGGATGTGGTGTTTACTTACCGTAATCCCAGCGCTCACGAAACTGAGACAGGAGGATCAAGATGAATTGGAGACCGGTTTGGAATACAGTGAGTTCTAGGTTTTCCTAAGATATAATTGAAACCTAAAATATAAGGAAGAGTGGGAGAGAGGGCAGAACAGCCCGGAGCCAGAGCAGAAGAATCTAAATTTAGTGTGTATTTCTGAGGGTGGGGACAGCGCAGAGACCAAAGGCAAATATACACCCAGGGCATTCTTAGGGTGACCAGGGTGTAACATGGGCTTGTGCGTGGACACCTCCGTTCAAAGGCCCTAATAGCTTAAGAAAAAAAGGAGTTCCCAGGCAAAAAGGTCATCTCTGCCTGATTCCAAGCACACACAGTAGCGTTTCTTGCCCTCCCCCTCCTACCTGGCCATAGGCTGTGGTAGATGGGCACCAACGCTTCCCTGGTGACTGAGTTTGTACTGGTGGGCTTCTCGCGTCTGGTCCACCTTCAAGGCCTCCTCTTCTCCCTCTTCCTGGCTGTCTACCTGCTCACTGTGGCAGGCAATCTCCTCATTGTGGCGCTAGTCTCCACAGACGCAGCGCTGCAATCCCCCATGTATTTCTTCCTCCGCATCCTCTCAGCCCTAGAGATCTGCTACACGTCGGTCACCGTCCCCTTGCTGCTGCACCATCTGCTCACTGGTCGGCGCCACATCCCGCGCTCCGGCTGCGCTCTGCAGATGTTCTTTTTCCTCTTCTTTGGCGCCACCGAGTGCTGCCTGCTAGCTGCCATGGCTTATGACCGCTATGCTGCTATCTGCGAGCCCCTGCGCTACCAAATGCTGCTCAGCAGGCGGGTGTGTGTGCAGCTCGCCGGCGCGGCGTGGGCCTGCGGGGCTCTGGTGGGGCTGGGCCACACCTCCTTCATCTTCTCCTTGCCTTGCTGTGGCCCCAATGCTATCCCTCACTTCTTCTGTGAGATTCAGCCCGTGCTGCAGTTGGTGTGTGGAGACACCTCGCTCAACGAGCTGCAGATTATCCTGGCTGCCGCCCTCATCATCTTGTGCCCCTTTGGCCTCATCCTTAGTTCCTATGGGCGGATTCTGGTCACTATCTTCCGCATCCCATCAGCTGCTGGTCGCCGCAAGGCCTTCTCCACCTGTTCTTCCCACCTGGTAGTGGTATCTCTCTTCTACGGTACTGCCATCTTTATCTATATCCGCCCTAAGGCCAGCTACGACCCAGCCACGGACCCCCTGCTGTCCCTCTTCTACGCTGTGATCACCCCCATCCTCAATCCTGTCATCTACAGCCTGAGGAATGCTGATGTCAAGGCCGCGCTAAAAAGAAGTATCCAGAAAATGGGGCCCTCGGAGATTTGACAAGGTGCGGGAGATGACTCCTGAACAGAACTCCAGGTTCCTAATTACCGAGGATCAAAGGAGAAGAGACTTGGAACACAGACTTACTGTGTTCCTCAACACCTTTTATTTTGAGATAGGCTCTTGCTGTATAACTAAGGTTGGTCTTGCACTCACATTTCGTGAGTGCTGGGATTAAAGACAAAGCCACCACACCCTGTTGGCAATAACTCCTTTCTTATCATTTATGGCGTCATCATTGACATATAATAAAGTGCATATATTTAAACGCATAGTCTGATAAGTGTTGCATATAAAGGCACCGTGAATCTATTGGCATTTGTGACACACACAGCCGAAGGTTTCCTCACTCCCCACTCTTTCATCTGCAGTCCGTCATTACAGATCAGTTTGCCTTTTCTAGAGTTTTACACAAATAAACTTTTTGTTCTGACTATTTTAACCCAATATAATTGTTTTGAATTTATCCATACTATGGTGTATAGCAGCCCATTCATATTCATTTCTGAGTACTGTCCCATGAGACCTCAATCTATTCCCCCACCTGCTGATGAAAATGCTGAATGTGTCCTGAGCCAAATTTAAGTCTGTCCATGTGATTCCATAGTAAACACCAGTCAATACAGTTTGTTGTTTTTTTTTTTTTTTTTAAAAAAAGTCCTGGGCTGGAGAGATGGCTCAGTGGTTAAGAGCACTGACTGCTCTTCCAGAGGTCCTGAGTTCAATTCCCAGCAACCACGTGGTGGCTCACAACCGCCTATAATGAGATTTGGTGCCCTCTTCTTGCCTACAGGCAGGACCCTGTATAAATAAATAAATAAATCCTAAAAAAAATAAACTCCTAAATATATTCATTCTGATCCTAGATAGGAAAGAAGGCAAGGAGAAAGGTTTCTGTTTCTTGGGTTCACATAGACTTCCAGCAGACAACAAACATCCACAAGTTAAGACCCAGGGAGGCGCTGTCTTGTGGTAATCAAGATCCATCAGAGTTAAGAGAACAAGACATCAGATGGCTCCTCTTTTCAGAATGTAGTGTTTCCTACTCTATGTCTCTCTCATGTCTGTGAGCTACACCTAAGCATCCTACCTCGAATCTGGAAACTCCTCTTAGACAGCAGTCTCAGCTCAATGCCTGGGAGTGACACACACACACACACACACACACACACACACACACACACTAGCTCCTCAGCTTGGCTTTTAGAATGCAGCCTCCAGACATAGTAGGTCTACAAATCAGGCATGATTTGATTGATCTAATCAATCAGCTCTGTTGTCTGATCAAGTGAGGAATACACCTCTGAAAGACTCATGAAAATCCTTCCATTTGTGTTGTGTGGCATTTTGTTTGTGTTCTGACAAATAAAACTGGCCTGGAGATCCAGGGTGGAGCTAATCTTTATTTAACAACAGAAGCCTGGTGGTGGTGGTGGTGGTGGTGGTGGTGGTGTTGGTGGTGGTGGTGGTTCATGCCTTTAATCACAGCACTTGGGAGGTAGAGAGAGGAAGTGACAAGGTGGGGCAGAGACAGAATCTCACCCTTTTAAATGCAGAAAGGAGACGACGCATAGGAAGCAACTGGCGACTGCTCCCAGTTTTCTGATCTTCCAGGTTTTTACCCCATCTCTGTCTCCTGGTTTTTATTGATTAAAAGTAATTGGATTTATGTGTCACCTTTGTATCACAGATCATGTTTTACTTTAAGTTGTTCAAAGGATTCATTGCTTAAACCATTAGCTTGGGAGAAAGATCTGGAAAACAAGCGTGACAAGACTTTGATCACAGACTGCCTCCAAAAAACGAATAGCTAGAGGTGCAAAGAAAGCAGAAAGGGTTTTTGCAAAGTTAGAACTGAACCAAGTCTAACTCTGCCCATGCGCACCTTGTACCCAGTGAACAGGATAACTGTGGCAGAGAGCCTCGTGTCTTCTTATTATTTCCCCAGGCTCTTTTGAGCCTTCCTAATGACAAAGGGGGGTAGGATAGACAGTTTGAATAATTGCCCTGCAGGGAGGCAGGCCATCTCTTCAACAGTATAATCAACTTTTACAGGGAAGGCAGAGTCTGTGGCAGTTGAATCAATACTATGGACCTATCAGGACAGCACCAGCATCAGCACCAGAGAACTTATACATGAAAATCGTAAGATTATTCAGGAATTCCATGAGTACAACTCAGATAAAACTCTGACTATTACTACCCTGAGCGTCACTGAGCTCAAGAGAATATTGCTGAGCTTCAGGACCTGACAGCCAGCCTTCCAGAACTCTAAAATGTGTCGTTGCACTATTCAGCCACATGGTGGCAGCACGCGTCTACTATACTGCCGACCGGCAAGAAACTCATAAAGAAGTAGGATTCGGAGAAGCCTAAAGGAAATTGTTGGACTCAAAAAATCAGGTAAAAGTTTTTGTAAACAGTCACTTTAAATGCATCCCAAAGACAGCACAACAAAGTGAGTTTGGTCCAAATAAGTCATCTAAGAGAAAGGGCCCTCTCCACCACACGTTTAACAATGGCTCTTCCTCCGCCAGTGACTAGGCATTCAGGGAACAAACACTATCGGATCCGCCAGTGACTAGGCAAAAACGCTGCATCCAGGGAACAAACACTATAGGAGTCCATAGGACAATGAGAGGAACTGCATCCCAGGAAGCCTGTCTCCAGGTGAAAGGCTGAAAGACAGATGGTTCACTCAGGCCACCTAAGACTCTCTCGACTGAATCTCTAAGCTCTGATGAAGGAAGCGTGGCCCTTACAGTCCCCTCCTGCTCATCACTCTTTCCTGTTTCTGGTCTCCATGGTCCCACAGAAAACAAGAAATCCTTCTGTTCAGTTTTAATTTTCTGATCACCCAGATGTTTTAAATGAGCAAAGCATTCTGTTCCAGGTTGGTATAAATAGGAGCTGAGATTTATTTCAGGTAGAAAGGACAGCTTAGTAACACCAGTCACTGCAATAGGGGTTTGTTCTGAATCCCAACTAAAGAGAGTTCTTTACTATAGGTTAACCTATAGGTTTCTAGAGAGGGTGGGTGATCTAAGACAATGTATGGCTTTGTACAAGCTCAAATGTTTTGGGGTTGCTATATGCCTGAAGTCAGGAAGGCAGAGAAAACAAGGACCAGGGATTATCACCGTACCTGGGGCTCATAAAGCAGGGGTTGCCCTTGCTGAAGCAGGAATGATAAACAGAAAGGGGCCTGGGGCTGCAGGGAAGGTGAGCAGATCACTCTAATAGTACCAAATCTGGTCTCTATTTTTTGTCTTTCAGTCTCTTATAAACACATATAATGAACTTTGAATTCATTCCCTTCCAATGTCCTCTCTTATGCCCCTCTTACCAAATACTTTTTCTCGTCTTTTTATTTATTTATTTATTTATTTAATGTATATAAGTATTTTGTCTATTTTTACATCTGTGTGCCCTGCTTGCCACATGCTTGCAGAGGCCAGAAGAAGGTATCAGATCCCTGGGACTGCAGTTATAGACAGTTGTTAGCCACCATTTGGGTACTGGGAATAGAACCCAGGTTCTCTGGAAGAGCTACCAGTGCTCTTAACTGCCAGGCGATCTCTCTAGTCCTCATGTCTTTTCATGTGTACATACTTTATCACATTTAATTAGAGTCACTTGCATGAACATAGGTAGGGACCTATTACTTGAACTAGGTCAGCTTACCAGCACTACAGTGCTATGGAACATGACTTCCCTCCTCTATCAGCCATTAGCTGCCTATGACTCCTCAGGGTGGCGTGGGGTTTCATGAGCCTCTCCTCCTTTCATCAAGGAACGTTAATAGGCCCAGCCTTCTGCAGGTCTTGTTCAAGTAACCCCCAATGCTGTGATTTCCTAAGTGCGGCAGCCAGGTGATGTCCAGAAAAGAGAATTTCCCAGCATTCCTTCCCATGCTCTGGCTCTAGATTCTTTATATCTCTGCAACGTTTCTGAGCCTTAGAGAAAGGAAATCTAGTCTCTCTTAAAGCTGCAGCATCTTAAAATGCTGGCCCCATGATCCAGTACAAGATCCCATCACCCACCCCCATAAAAGGGGGAAATGTACATGAAATCTCCATACCCTTTATCACTGGAGTCCACCATATCCAGGAATCTTAACTGAAAGTTGACGGTTCGATAAATGACAGAAAATAAGCTTCCTCTTCTGAGTCATTACCAAGGCCCTGTCTGCATTCTGAATCACAGATTTTTGCCACCCTCTGTATTAATGGCTGAATTTCAGATACGTTTCCTGTCACTTTTCTATGCTTTCTCTCTTCTTACTGTCTAACTCTCCACAAGTTCCAAGATTTTGGAGCCCAGGCAAGTCTCTTCTTACCACAGACCTAACTTGTCCTCTTCCTCAAAGCCTGCTGGAGAGAAATGTTAGCAGGACTGGACAATGTGCCTATCTTATCTTCCCTGTTTTCACATTTTAATTCCTTCCTCGCGTAGACAGGTCAGTTGCTAGGCTTAACAACCACAGTAGACTCTAAGTAGTCAGTCATAGTCTGACTACAATCCTGACCAAAAACCATGACATTTATACTATATAAAATAAACTAACAACCTCTGCGTTCCCCCTAAGGGTGCTCTACACTTGGATGGAGCAGCTCCAGTTTCCTGTCTTACCGTGGTAGGAGCCACACAACTGTTCCTCCAAAACTCATGTTTGGTTTCTGTCCATTCTCATTTGGGCAACAGTTCATTCCATAGTTTTTCTTAGGTGTTCTATTTCATTCACCCCAGATAGAAAGAATAACAACAGTCCAAAGAAATTATTCCACCCAAGTGAAGTTTACTGAAGCAATGCCCCTTGCTGGGCTTATTTACAGGGCTATGGGTGACTTCACACCTCAGAAAAACCCACCTGAGCATGGGTTAAGGACTCACAGAAGTCCCCTATACACCTTTGGGACAGCTGCATCACCGAGGAGTCTCCCATCCTCACCAAGCCCACTGCCCACATAGCCTCCAGATGTGGCTCTTTGATGCTTGTAAATTTTTATGAGCCTTGTGAGTTTCCCTGTATCCTCCTTAAGGGATGGTCCAATCTTGAAAAAAACAACTACACTACATATAGACATGTACACACAGACACAGACACACACACAGACACAGACACAGACACACACACACACACACACACACACACATTATCGGATGGCTTTTGCCCCTGCCCTTCAGAGTCAGTTGTCAGGATGAAGTGAAACCTCTGTTTCTCTCCGGTTACTACCAACCAAACAAGCATAGGTAATGGATCAAATTAGAGTTTAATTTAAATATGGTAGTAATTTAACCAAGAGAATATCAAAAAGTGAAACTATTGCTTAGAGTTTACAAAGAAGTAACTACTATTTTTAAACCTTTTATTAAATTTGTTTTGTGTGTGCAGTGGTAGTGAGGTGTGGGTGTGTGTATGATACAGCCCACATGTGGAAGTCAGAAGACAAGCTGCAGGAATCGGCTCTCTCCTTCCACCATGTCAGTCCTGGGACAATCAGCCTTTTTGCCAGCCCCAAAGACGTAATTATAATGGCTGACGGCAATCTGGGCTGGGAGAGACAGGAGGAAGATGAGGAACTGCAGCAAATATCCAGATCACTGAACGTAGAAATGGAAGGAGACAAAGTTTTGATTTGGGGGGATAATTATCCACTAAGATTTATAGTAAGAGTGAAGAGTGGGCCAAATATAATATATTCTTGAATAAAGAGGAGCCGAAGGGATGGAGGGGTTAACAGCAATCACAGTGGTAGCAGGTGATCAAAACCAGTGTTCAGCTGAGGAAGATATTGATGAGAGGAACAATTCCAGTAATCCTGGCACCCAGCAGCTTGGACTATATATTAAAATGTTGTTCATTTGTGACTTAAATCTGCAGTGTCCCCCAGATTAGGGCTGCTTTACAGACATAACAAATTTGCTGAGGGTCAGCAGGTCAGTCAGCGAATGACTAGAAATAACGGGAAGAGGAAATTATGCGGTCTCTAGCCTCCACAGCCTGCTAGAGACCAGTACCCTGAAGGGATAGTCTCTCCAGGATTCCCTCTCCATCACTCTGGGGAATGTCTCTCTGGACACCTCCACGTGAAGGGCTAATTATGGGAGTGGGACACAGATTCCCCAGCACCTCACCCCCCTTCTAAGGAGCAGGGAAAGTAGGTTCTTGTTTCTTCTCTAGTGAGAGAAGGTGTCAGTGTTCTTCATTTTTCTCTCTCCCGTTAGATTTTAAAAGAATATTTTCAGTGCAATCACCAGCTAAGGTTAACTGGCTACCACAACAACACAAGCATTTGACCTGTTTTTGCCCCTTACAGAACTCTCCAGTAAAGTCTCCATTTCTGCCTCGGTACCGCAGTCCCACAAAGTTAGGCATCTTCTCTCTGCTGAACAGGATGGCACCCACCCCTTGTCTTCAACCTGGGGCGCCTGGCTCTGATCTCAGGTATTCATTCCAGCAACCAATACAGTCAAATATTTGGGTCTTTTGTTAATCTTTCCCTCTGTCATTTCAAACCCAGGGAATCCAGAACATGAGCAAGACACCAGCATAAATTCGAGGTCTAAAAACAGGGCCAGAGGTTAGACATGAAGGTAAGTCTGTTACATTGCTCTAAGAATAAATGGTTTTGCAATTCAGGGTCACAATCTAGAAAGTCAAGGACACGCTTGTAACCCCAGCACTCTGGAGCTGGACACAAGAGGGTCAGGAGTTCAAGAGCTCCTTCTGCTGCAAACAGAACTGAAGAACCGGATGGAGAGAGGGGGCAGGCAGCATGGGAAGAAAGGAAACAGAGGCAGGCAGGGAGGGAGAAAGAGAGAGAGGGAAGAGGGATCAAGTACAAGAAAATATTTGATGACTACAGTTATCATACTTGGTCTATTCCAGTGAAAAGTCTATAGCTGCATATACCTGTTGGCTGCTCCTAACTGGCTGAGATTACATTCTGAGATTTTATATAATAGACATTTACACTTCCGCTTTGGTTTGCACGTGGAGCAGAGTTAGGTTCACCTGTGAAGTGTGACTGACTTGTCTGCTCTGGGTTCTCCTACCTTCAGCTTTAACTGTTGCATAAATAAACAAACAAAAAAGGCAATGTTGCTCCATCTAGTCTCATTCAGTCTCGACTTTTAGACCATGCAGATTTTTAAGGAAAATGGGGGAGGAAAGATCAGAGCGGAATATGTCCTTCAGTATCGTCATAGCTGCCCTTGGTAGAGACACTGAATCTCTTCTTTAATTCCTGGAGGTGCGGCCAGAGCGAGGGAGGCAGACCTGATTATCAATGGACTTAGGACAACTTTACTTTCTAAAATTTGAACTGGCTCATCTGTTAAACAGAGGCATTATCTCCCTTGAAGGCACTTGTGAAGGAATACTGGCATGGGGCTATGTAATGAAGCTTAAATTTAGGCATGGGCTTTCCTCTCTTACCCCGTTTATCCCACACTGGGAATTCTTGCTTGTCGTGGACAGCAATAAGCCAGGGTCTCACTGTGTAGCTCTCTGACCTGGAACTCACTATGTAGACCAGGCTGGCCTCAAACTCACCAAGATTTCCAGGCTTGCCTGCTGAGCACAAGGCCTGAATCACTAAGCCCACTAGCATTAAACTTCTTTGTCTCATCCTTCCGAACCTTCTCGGAGTTTCCCCTCAGGCTAACCACAGCTCAGCTGAGCGCTTCCTGCTGCTGGGTTTCACAGACTGGCCCTCGCTGGAACCCGTCCTCTTCGCACTGGTCCTACTCTGCTACCTACTAACGCTGTCCGGCAACGCGGCATTGGTGCTGCTGGCCATTCGCGACCCGCGCCTGCACACACCCATGTACTACTTCCTTTGCCACTTGGCCTTGGTGGATGTGGGCTTCACCACCAGTGTGGTGCCGCCGCTGCTGGTCAGCCTGTGCGGCCCGGTGCTGCAGCTACCGCGCGGCGGGTGCATGGCGCAGCTGTGCGCATCTCTGGCCCTGGGCTCTGCCGAGTGCGTGCTGCTGGCCGTTATGGCGCTGGATCGCGCTGCTGCCGTGTGCCGCCCGCTGCGCTACACCGCCCTCGCCTCACCGCGCTTGTGCCGCGCTCTGGCCAGCGCCTCCTGGCTCGGTGGCCTGGCCAACTCCGCAGCGCAGACCGCCCTGCTGGCCGCGCGCCCGCTCTGTGCGGCCCGCCGTCTGGACCACTTCATCTGCGAACTGCCCGCGCTGCTGCAGCTAGCCTGCCGTGGCGGCCGCAGCGCCACCGAGCGCCAGATGTTCGCCGCGCGGGTGTTCATCCTGTTGGTGCCTTCTGCGGTCATCCTGGCCTCCTACACCGCCGTGGGCCGCGCGGTCTGGGGTATGCGCTCCCGCGCTGGCCGGCGGAAAGCAGCGAGCACATGTGGCTCTCACTTGACCGCCGTCTGCCTATTCTACGGTTCGGCCACCTACACCTACCTGCAACCTACACATAGTTACAACCAGGGCCGCGGCAAGTTCGTCTCGCTCTTCTACACGGTAGTCACACCCGCGCTAAATCCCCTCATCTACACACTGCGCAACAAAGAAGTGAAGGGGGCGGCTCTGAGGTTCTTGGGAAGTCTGGGGAGGCTGCAGGTCCGGCACTGAGAGGACTAAGAAAGGCGCGGGGTCCCGTAACTAGGATGCCCATATTGTTTGCCTTTGCATGAGAATCTGCAAATTTTGTTCTCGAGGAGTCCAGGATTAGTAAGAGGGAGATCTCTTTCTCCTACCGGCTAAGGTTTGGATTCTTGAGGGGAAATCCCTGAAATACGTAAACACACGTATATAGTGATGGGGTAAATGGATCCCAGGCCTTTCTACAGAAGGGAAGCATGATGAAGGAGGGGGCCATCCTCATCCTCGGGAGACTTTGTAACCACCCCTGAAGAATTCGCATGGAGATAAGATGATGAACACCTAGTGCTGACCTTCAGCCTTCCATACAAAAGACCGTGAGAAAGCCCATGCCTCAGCCATCAGGTGCAGTCCCTCAAGTTAACAAGGAGGCCAGGTGTCTTACCTTACATAGAGAGCTTCCAGAAACAGGATGTGGTTTCCCTTCTTGGGGAGCCAACCCAGCTAATACAGAACTAGCCAGATAACCAGTGCCCACGACAGAACACTCGATACTTAAAACTATAAAGAAAATCTGCTATTATAAGGCGATTGTGTCAGGCCTGTTTAAGCTGGGAATCCCAGCTGCAGGGCATGGCTTGTGAACTAGTTTTAACTAGTTTTAAAAGAGAAAGGACTAGTTTTAAAAGAGAAGGTAAAGACAGCCATGGTCAGGCTGTGAGAAAAGCCTGCATGGGACCAGGATAGAGACAGAGGAGAAAACAGAGGGAAGATGGAGAAAGTTATCCTACAGCAAAGGAAGCTCTATCCTCAGAAGAAACCAGAAGTTAACCCCTTCCCTTCCTTACCCAGAGATGAACATTCTGTTAGGTGTTAGGTGGAGGAGGCACTAGATTTTATTCCATACCAATCATCTTTAAATAAGAAGAGAGGATAATGATCGAATGAATTTCTAAATCATTTATTAGTCTGTGATGCTGTTGGGGTTTTAAAAATTCATAACACATTACTTCTCTAATCTCTGTAAGTAGAACTCAATTTGGTTCAACAGTTACTCGTTGATCCACTGTCCCTGCCTCCCAAGTCCTGAAATTAAAAGTGTGAACCACCACACCCAACTAACCTTTCAGTTTCTTCACTTGGCGGCCATCCTGCCACACGATGAACTGTCAGAAACAAGTAATCACAGGCTTGGCAAATAGTTTTGTCTTTATTTCATTTTCATTAGCTTTCGGAAATCATCAAAGGGTGTGGTGTGACTGGTAAGAGCTAAGGGGAGTGGGCTTGGATCCTCTCACCACCCATCCACAGTCACCCCCCAATGCAGTGCCCTGTCAGAAAGAGCAAACTGCCCCTCCTGATGTTGTAGTCAGCCATGATCTTTCCGTCTTCCAGCTTCTTTCCATTGCAAGTCACAACCTGAGTCTTGGGGCTCACAGCGGTCACATTCTCGATCATCTCTTTCACCTGGGACACTGAACTGGATCTTCGAACTTGGAGAAGGTGCCTTTGCCCCTCATTACTTGACTCCACCAGAAACAAGGGCAGCTCTTCATCGCTGGGCTTCACCACCTTCAGGGTGAGGTGGATGGTAGTGTCCTTGTCAATGCCGTAAGATGAAAGCTTTCTCTGGGGCTTGAGGACCTTGGAGCCTAGCAGAAGGACCTGGTCCTGCACAGAAACCTTGGTTTTGGATCTGATATGTTCGTTTATCTTCTTCACTTTGTCGCTCTCGGTGGTGTCAAAGGTCATTGATGGCCATTGCTCAGAATGGACAATCTAAGCAAAGAAAGCCGAGAGAGTCAGCCAGAAAGCTTGCTGCCTTTCTACACCTACTTCTCACCTTCATTGTTCTGTCTGCTTGGCCCTCCAGCTCCTACCCAACAATCTGCAGCTCCCCCTCTCTTGAAACTTTCATTTAATTCCCATATTATAACACAAATTAGAACATTAGTCTCATTCCTCTTGAGATATGTGTCCAATATATCTCCAATGTAACTATCAATTTCCTACCTTATTAACTTGCCTTTCCTAAGCCAAATATTAAAAGTAAAGATATTACAGGGCTTCAAAGGATGTACACAGGTTCCTAAACAACTCCAAAGCAGATTTTCAAGATTTAGCACCCTCATAGGATACTCTCAACCTCATAGGATACCCTCTGTGACTAATTCAGAACAAACCCTGATTAAGTCATAATCTCCACCTTATTAATGTCCCTGTTAATTTTTGATAATGCCCATGTTGTGGTGATGCTGTGTTTAATGTTGTTAATCTGTGATTTTGTATTTTTATTACTATTGTTATAGAGCATGATATCCTCTTTTAATTAGACCAGAATCCCAATCGAAGTATAGCTGAGTTTAATTTCATTCACTGCAGAATTCTGGAAGATGGGGAAAATCAGGTCTGCAAACCTCCTCATACTCCATTTAGAATCATTTTCCCAATCTAGATGTTTCAGACGCTCCTTCAGTGAAGGTTTTATCCTTGTTGGGTACTGCCCTGGTCACAGGTTCTCTTCATGAGGACATACTTTTGTTTAAGGTGATGTGTTTGATCACTGATAACTTAAAACAAATGAGATTTGTGATATTTTTCTTTGAAAAGAGAGAATCTTGAGGCTGAGAACTCTGAATTATTTCCCTAATTTCACATCTTGCCAGCCTTGTTGAAGCACAATGCCCTACCATTTCTCTCAAGTTTGGCTGGCAAAATAGCTTATCTGGGAAAGGCCCTTGCCACCGAGCCTCACCGCCTGACCTTAGCCCCTGTGACCTAGGTGGGAGGGGGACAGAACTAACTATGGCAGATTACCTTCTGACCCTGGCCCTGCATATACGTGCACTCAGATAATAAATACATACATACAATATTATAAATGTTTATAACCAACCTCTCTCTAGAGTACTTCCTTCTGTTGTGCAATCATCAATGTCTGCCGTGTCTCCTAAATGGTGCCCACCCAACCCGCTCACCTTCCAGGCATTGACCCCTCCTGCACTGTGGAACTATATTCCCAATGCATGGAAATACTTTCCCTTCCCATTCTTTTATCAGACCCCAACTTACACAGATGCAGGAAGCCATGTCTGCTATCAGAGGCGGAGTGATAAAGGAGTCCTCGGGTCTGCTTATATGTGAGAAGCTGGGTGGGAAATCCCCAAAACTGCTGCTTTGTCCAGTTTAGCAACAACCTTTGTTCTCAAGACTTTCCTTTCACTTTCACTGGGGTGGAGTTACTAATGAACACTCTTTGTACACAGATTTCTCCCTTTAACCTTTCCATCTGTACTCCAGATTCTAAACATAAAATAACTCCTCTAAAATAAGGGCTCCTAACTCTGCCTTGTTACTGTCCAGCCACTAACCTAGACCCTCGTAGGCTTGATAATTCATGACGTATGGTAGCCCTCTCTCTGTGTTTAAGAGTACCGGGCCTCTCTAAGAACAGGGATACCCAGAGGGGACAGGCAGGATTGGTGCTGACTGACCAGGCTGTCCGGAACCTTTGCCCACTGAAGAGGAAGACTGTATGGAACCCACATGCATGAGCTACAGGCGAACATGAGCCTGGACTGCAGAGTCATGATTTGGTGTCCTGGGGTACCACTTGCTACATACATTATAGCATGGAAAGATGCTACCCTCTTTAAACATAGGTCTATAAAACTAGATAATTGTAGGCCATTCCTAATGTCTCCCTACCTCTAAAAAAATCTTTCTTATAAAATTTTAAACACACACACACACACTTTTTGGGTTCTTGGTTCTTCTCTAATACATTGTCAATCCTGACTCAGGACCTGCAAATCTAACATTCTCCTTGAGAACAATCCAAAACCCATAGTTAAATCCTGACTCCCATCTTTTTCCATACTCACACCACAGTTCCTGGGTTTCCCCACCGTGATTCTTGGATACCTCCCTCCTCTCCTCCTTGAGCTCAGAGACATGTGAAGGTGCCACTCCTTCTCTTGCTCTCGAGATTTGGTTGAACGAGATCAAGAATGGGACTAAGCTGTGTGTCCTCAGGAAACTTAATCACTCAGAATATTCCAAGTTTGTCACTGGATTCTCAGGACATTCCATGGAATAAATTTTCAAATTTGTTTATTAAAAGTGCTTTTTTCAAAGGATTATGTAAAATTTCAAATTTATTCCCTTTTTCTGTGTTTGCTGAGGCTATGTACTGTACCTTCACCCATTGAAATTTCTCTTTCTTTCTTCTTTTTTGATCATAAGAGAAACCTTCCCTCAGTTCCTCCCAAATCCTCCTCCTCACCTCCTATCCATCCAACTTTATGTTCTTTCTCTATCTGTGTGTCTCTGAAAAAATACACCTACATACATAACACACACACACACACTCACAAATATAAACAACACAAAAACAAGAATCAAAGCAAATAAGCAAAAGACCAATGGGACAAAATTTGCCAAAATAAAGCAAATGAAGCAAAAAGTCCACAAAAATACCAATTAATTAGTTTTGTGTGTGCAAACTACTTCTGAGTATAGTGCCTGCCTGCGCTAAAGTATGGTTAATTTGCCCAATGAGGCTCCATTGGGAAAAAAAAACTGATTTTTCTTTTTGTTGGGCAGTATCAATTGCATATAGCTTCTTAGTTAGGAGTGGGACCGTTTCCCTTCTCCTATTGAAAGATCTTAAACCATTTCATTTTATTCTAGAATGTTCCATTCTGAATAACTTGGATTTACAGAGTACCTGTGTATAGTAAGGCTATCCAAAAGCTGACTCAAATATTTTGAAATCCTAATGAAAATTATATTGAAGCTCTTGTAGGGTCCAGGAGACCCTACTCCTTCCGTCCAGTTCTGGGTTATCCTCCCATTCTGGCTTCTAAAGTCTTTTGAAGCCTATTTATCTAGCAATGGGATCGTCTGCTTGTCTAACATCCCCAGTGAGCTCATGAAGACCATGATTGTGTTTTTGTTCACTTGTATGCCCAGCTTATCTGGCACAGAAAGATGCTTAATAAATATATAGTGTGTGAGTAAAATAGTAA